CCTTGATGTGTCTGCTTTTGCGCATCTCTCCACGTTGCCCACATTCAAGTCTCTGACGGTCACGACCTTGCGCCACTTCTCTCCATGCAGTTCTGCTTCAAGCGAACCCGATATTCCCAGATTCATCGGGCTCACCACCTTAGACATCACGGCCACGACCGACAAAGCCGCCATCTTCTGCATCAAAGCTCTGTCCCAGAGTCCACTGGCAACAGTTTCCCTCTGCATGAAGTTTCCAACGACGCCGAATTTTGTCTCGTTATTGTATTCCTCTGTCGCTGAGAACATATCTCATGCGACTCTGCGCTCTCTTGATATCAAGGCAACCGATGACATACATTGGCCGGAACGTCCCCCGTCTTCTCCGGAACGGCCGGCAATATTCAGAACCGCGCTACGCCAGCTTTTTTGTTTTGGCGGCCTTACGAGAGCCAAGTTAACCACAACTGGCGGGTTCTATCTCAACGACTCACTTTTGGTGGAGTTGGCCCATGAATGGCCCAATATGCAAGATCTCACATTGCTGGCTGAACTTAGGAGCAGCCCCGGAAGCCGCGTCACCTTCGCTGGCTTGCGGTCTTTGGCTTACCTGTGTCCGCACTCGTAACTATTGGCCTGGAGCTCGAAACTTCAGTCATCCCGTTCCCTGACTACTCTTACGGTGACCGGAAGTTCCCATCCCGACTTTCCGATTTACGTGTCGGATATTCACCGATTTTCGAACCATCCCTTGTGGCTTGTTTCCTTGCCGCTACCTTCCCTGAAATCAGGAAAATCTCCGCCAATTATGAAGTGGACTCCGAATGGGAACGCAATTCCCTTCTCTACGGTGGCCGCTGGATTGAAATCAACAAAATAACCGAATTGCTGCTAGTTTCAAAACGTAAGCCACTGACAAATTTTTTGCTTCTCATTACAATTTATTGCCTGTGGTTTTTGCACTTTATCGGATATCCATTCAGTTCTTGACAATTTGTAACCTCACTGTTCGAACTGCCGCCCTTGCCCGCACATGTCCATGTAAAATTTTGGATGATTTGCTCGTTTTAAATTTTGAGCCCCAACTGCCTGCGCCGCCCCTTTTCTGCTCCAACCGCTCGTACGACAATCCCCGAGGGGCCCATGCCCGATTTTTATAAGGTGCCGAGAAGCCCGACCCAGGTTGCTCTGGGCTCTTAGCGCCCATTGTAGCTGAGTCCCACTTTTGATGGCTGAGTCCCATTTTCCCACTCTGCAGAATGGGACTGAGTACAGTTGAGTGGGACAGGTTTGCCTGTTTGATGATCCTCGGCCTTGCCGAGAGATCCGCGTAACCCCGGCAGATGTATTCCCTTGCTGTCTGGGACTCGCGCAGTCCCATTTTGACGGCGCCGAGTCCCACTCCGGGGTGCTGTCAGTGGGATCCGAGCGTTCCAATACATCCACGGGGTCTTGGCGCTGGCGATCAACTTCACGTTCAAGCGTGTTGAGGGAGATATGGACGAATGGGAGGTTGTGGGCTTCTCAGAGTGTTTCAAAATGCGTAATTAAGAAGTGGCCTGCATGGAATCACTCAACTAATTTTTGCCGTGCAGGAATTCCCTTCGCGAGCTTCTACTGCAACAGGAAGACGACGGACACATTTAAACAACTCTTCACGGAGCTCTTCGACGCGATCTACCATGTCACCGGAGAGAAGCTCCTTCGCCCGTTCTACCCCGACGCAAACTGTCGAATCTTCGTCATGGGCGGCGAGGTAGCACAGGTTAACGGATTTGGCTAATTTCTGGCGCAGTACAACTCTCCAACAATCAGCGGTATCTCGGAGAACAACTCCATTGGCTACATTCTGTATTGCCTCAAGACCTGCATTGTGCACTTTAACCGGTGAGTTGTCTTGTGTTTCGTTTCCACGGAATGGTATTAATTTGTTGCAGCTGCTTGGATGAGCTCAATCGCGCCGACGTCTCTGTTATCGCGCAGCTGAAGAAGATAATTGGATACAAGACCCAGGAGGACGTCGGGAAACGGCATGCATACTGCCAGTCAGTTGCCACGGTATATGTTGCTGTTAACGGTGTGTGTCCAGCTTCAATTCCGGATCCAAGTTCCAGCTGAAAAAAAAATCCTCCAGACTGGTACGTCACAAGCTGTGGTACCTCTCTCCATCAATCCATTCCTCTTTAAAATCGCTGCGGCCGACTACGTGATTACCCCGAACACGACCAATCTCGCAGAGAGTGCTCATGCCGGGACAAACACTCAAAGATCGACGAAACCTGTTACCCGCTATCCTTCGGTGCGTATATGAGCTTGCGCTCCCTGGTGCTCTCCCCTCAGATTGCGCAGAAAATATGCCCGCGACAATGAGCAAGCCAACCAACTCTGCCAGACATAGGTACCTGTGGGTGGGTAGTAGAAGTTTCAGCACCAGTTTGAAATCGAATGGAAACCCATACCCATTTAAGAACATTTTGTTTTACTACTAATGAGCCCAGATATGGCAATTACACCACCGGGTAATGTTGCTGCACCTATTTTACTCATCCCTTACAGCGGTTCCGGAAAACCATGGCGGAAGTCATTTCTTTTGCCCATGTTTCAACTTTTGATCGAGTGATAAGAGCTACCCGTTTTGGTAGCATCGGCAGCACCACGGGATGTATGATATGGGAATCGTTACATCGACCCTCCTTCAACATTCACTTTTGACTCTCACCTCCATCCACGGCCGCCTGTTACTCGAGTAAACGCAAGAGACGGGCGGCACAAACCCCTCCCTCACCCCAACACCCTTCTGTCCCCGCTGCCACGCCCAGCCACGATGTGCATTCAATTTCGTTGTATTCTTGTGTTACTGTGATGGAATATAGTATTGCTCTCTAATCTACCTATGCACTAGATGCGGTCATTTGCATGTGAAGCACATGCGGTTGTGATTCCCAATTAGGGACGGCTCGGCTCGTGAACTCGGATCACGGAGTTGTGTGGGTGTAGTGTCACGTGTACGATTCAGAGAGATGAACCCAGTGATTCCCACGATTAATCTCCGAATTTATTCTCAAGAGGAGGTATTATATCACAGGATACTTATACCGCTGATGAGCCATCTTGACTCGCACAGAGCTCGTGTAAAGCCGCCGGGGTTATGACAGCACCCCGGAGTAGGACTCGGCGCCATCAAAATGGGACTGCACGAGTCCCAGACAGCATGGGAATACATCCACCAGGGTTACACCAAGGCCGAGGATCATCAAACAGGCAAACCCACGAGTCCACTCAACTGCACTCAGTCCCATTCTGCAGAGTGGGGAAATGTGACTTGGCCATCAAAAGTGGGACTGGGCGAGTCCCATTCCCATCCTTTTCGTTACTCCTCGTTTTATGTACCCTTATATCACGAATATATATATATAACTTTGGGGAGCTCGTTTTTAGTCAACCCTCGGAGTGAGTGGCTTGTTGCTGGGCAGCTGCCAGTGTGCTCTGCTCATGAAACGACGGACCAGCGTCAGGTGATGATGGCTTAAGTCTGTTGTGAGGAATATATATCAAGTTTATCAAAACAAAAGGGAGAAGAAAGAGAGAGAGAGAGAGAGATTGGAGGATACTTTATTCATCCTGTGGACCTTTGTTCCTAGCTCAATTGCACTGGGGAGGTACTAAAAGCTCGAAAGTTACAATTAATCAAGGCGGGAAATTAAGACTATGTCGAATGGGGATGACTGCCCAAAAGAGTTGAGGTATGCGCATGGCACCTGCGGTTTGGCGCGGGTCGTGCGTTGACTGTCCAGGGTCCTACGCACGCATCCCACGCCAACCATGATGGACTTGGCTGGGATGATGCCAGCGGCAGGTCTGCTAGCGCCGCGGTCACGATTATGGGTCCCCGGCCGAATGTGGCGCGGACACGTGCACGGGCACGGATGTAAATGGTCCGCCGCTGACGATAGCGTTCTTGTGGAACGATGCCGGTGTATGATCAAAATGTATTCAAATGCCGGCCTCGATTTGCTATGTCGCACTGGGTGGCGCGCAGGCGAGAAGCGACGCGCGTCTCGACGCGTCGCGACACGTGATCGAGCCCCGGGCGAACCGCTTCCCGATATGGACACGATCACTGATCGGATCACGGGATGCGCGGTAATCATGCCGAGAAGGCGTGACGCCAAGGGTAAATTTTTTTGGAATGTCTACCCTCAATCGCACACGATGTGGTAAAGACTGAGGGTCGTCGTTATCGAGCCGCACTCTTATTAGAGTGCGGCGACGATCGAGAGTGAAATATATAAGTAAAATGAAATAGAAACGGAAAACAGAACGTCCTCGAAAGACAATTTGCCTCTCGTCAACATGCTGCCGCCGGCGCACACCATAACTATAAGCGTGATGTACATATGTGTTTGGTTATATTTTCATAGAACCAGATCTCCCCTGGCTGAAATTCCGATGGCTATTAACTGTAGTAGCTCGCGTCGAGTTGTCGGCCAGACAGCCCCACTGAAAATCAGGGAACCATTAGCTGCCGTGATAACTGTAAACGGAAATTTATTTTTTATTTATGGGAGAGCGACGGGGGCTGAGCCATTCAACATTTTAGCCCCCCACATAACCCACAGAGTGGGATTTCCCGTACTAATCACTGTACTTTCCAAAAAAAGAACCCTTTTTCTCCGCAATCCCGGAACGGGGAATTGAACCCCGGGCTGCGCGCGCTCAGCACAATAACCCCCTACGGCATTCCGGAGATACAACCGGCACTCTATAAACAGTTTAGAAACATGAAACAGGCCATTCACGCGCAAGCAACTCAGCGCTCATGGCTTGGCCATTCGGGACGGGGGATATACATACATATTGTAGAGGAAGTCTGTAGACCTTGACTGGCGGGCGATAAATTTTGACGCCCTGAACTCGATCTCGTTACTGTTCGTTAAAATCGTTTACTCCCAAGAAGTATAACGTGGGCATTGGTGTGGGCGTGTGGATCAAAATGACAAAAATCCACTAACAACGGAATATTCCGGAACGGGGAATCGGACCCCGGGCTGCCGCGCACCCAAACATACCCAAATGTCCATGGACATGAGAGGCGGTAATGTTACCCCTACACCATTCCGGAGTTACTTCAGCTATTTTGCAGGACAATGGTAAAGGGAGAACAACGAAGTCCGCATCACTCAGATAACACGCCACAATTATTCAGTAAATTAAGTACATATATTATTCTAAATCAATTAAGCATGTCTACAATTGGTGCGGCGGCATACATCGTGCTGTAATTGGTGCTTTACACTTGCCAGGGCCGCATTTCATCAAATTTGCACGATCGGCATCAGGCGGCGCTGAGCGCGACAGTTGATGCCGCATCAACTCTTTCCGGCAACCCCTCCACACGTGGCACGGCTGTATCGGCCGTAGACGCCCGATACCGTGCCCAATGGCGCGCGTGGCATGGCGGAGCGGAGCGGGCAGTGCAGCTCATGGCTGGGTGCCAGCGGAACCCTCAACGGTTGGCGACCTGAGATCACGTGCCTTGCAGGTCGGTCAATGGTGTCGTCTTCTCGGAAAATATAACTGGCCCTCGTACCATCTCTCTGAGTCTCTGTGCCATGATTACGACGTGAGATCGCACAACTTGTTAGTACCGTCGTCAAGCCAACAGCCGATCGTCCGCATCATTGCAGGCCAGGCTTTAGCAATCAGACTATTCCCTGATAAGTGTATTTTGTTTCCAAGTACATGTAATGCTCGCTTTACTAAATCGTCCGCGCGCCTTTTATGCAGTAAATGGCAAAAACTTGCAAGTTGAAATATTGAGCTTTGAAGCGGGTGAGTTCTGCGAAGTCTTCCTCGATCTGCGAAGATGGCCTCAGAGCGACGACTTGGAGAATCCGCGAAGACGCACCGAGTTCAAGGCCCTTGCATAGCGCACGGCCTTATTAGCCATGTGAGCATAAGAAACTGATAGTCGAGACAGCGACGCACCCTAAGAGCATTGCACTCCAGCTTGTCAAAGCCAAGCTTCTCTTGGATGTGTCTTGGAAGCACGACGTGGACTTCGGGGGGGGACCTCGGTGACGTTGTGAAGGGCCGCGGTCTCGGCTTGCTGAATGCGCGCCCGATTGGCCTGGAGGTGGGCCAAGAATGGAATGAGTGAGGGAAGCTTGAGAGCCGAGTACGCACCTTCGAGTTCGCGGATGCGAGCTGCGGCGGTCACAAATCGACATCTTCAGCGCCACCACTGCCCGGGCCCGCAGTCCCTGGGGGCGACTCCGGTGCAATCAAGGCCGGCTGGCGGCGTCGTGAGTCGTTGATGCTTCGTCGGCGATCCTGTTTACGCCGAGTGTTGCTGTGGGATGGGTGCGAGTTTTATTTGTTGGATTGAGACTGGGGAGACATGCATATGGAGGATGTGGGGAGTGCTACGACGTGATGGCGCACCTTGGGGCCATAACAGTTACTGTACATGCAATACAGTGTTCACCAATAGTGCCGATTTACATGTTGCTAGCTACATCTGTTCTTTCTAAATTATCAATTTTCTGGGTTGTACGTCCCTTCAACCTGTTTAACCCCGTCCAAGGGATGCAGCCACTCCACCCGCCTCTCCACAAACTGCTCTCGTTGGGGCTTCAACTTCGTCTCATGTAGGTGGAAATCGTCCACCGTTCCAATGCGCAAGATGCTCATCCCGGGGAACCCCGAGCTGACGCGGTACATGAGCGTACCGCATGTCGAGCAAAAGTGGTTAGTCATGGTATTTCCCGACCCGATGGTGCGCGACTGGCCAAAGGCGGTGAGGTTTTCGCGGCCGCGTACATGGGTCAAGTGCCTATCGGCGATGGAAAAGTTGGAGGCGAACATGGAGGCGGTAATTTTGCGGCAGTCCGCGCAATGGCAAACAAACGTCTCGACGACGCCGGGGCCTTGGGTCGGCTGGAGGTTCAGTTTCAAAAAGCGGTGAGCAAAAGGTGATGAATAGTTAAGAAAAGAGGTGAGAACAGCGGAACTTACGAATTTAAGCTGAACAGCGCCGCAGAAGCATGTAGCCGTCGCTTCTTCGTCGTTGGACCAACCGTCCCTAGCGCTGCCGGCCAAGGGGAAGTAAGGTTTGGATTTATCGACGGGGGCAGCGGCGGACATGCTTGAGTATGTATTGAGAGTCGTTAGGATTCTCTGCCAATACTGGAGCCTGACGAGCTTCTTTTATAGAGTTCAACTCACACACGACGTCACAGCACGGACCGGAACCGACCGGATTAAACTTCAAGCGGTGCTTACGAAGCCTCTGCTTTAAATCAACTAGTCAGGCTTCCTCTGGTTTATAATATTTCAAGTCACGAGGAGCGCTCAATTTCTGAATGAGTTATCCAAAGTCGGAAACACGTGCCCGGCGGTGTTTGCCTTGGTGAGAAAAGAAAACCATTTAGGGTGGTCACCCAAAATATAACCGTGGGATACTCGTCTTCTTCTTTCTCTGCTCTTCGTTTTGGCCCAGCACTAGTGGTGATATCAACTTAGTACTGTACCGTGAAATCCATCTCGTAAGTTGGCAGTGGTTTTGCTGATGTGCGGCTGAGTCATTGGTCCATGGAAAGACGGATGAAAAAAGGTGCAAGATTCAAGCAGAGAGAACAGTAGGTCAGATTCAAAATTAAAGGAATGGGTGCAACAGCTATGCAAAGATATTAAGAACGGGTAGCTACAGGATGAAATTATTTACTTTATAACATGTAAAAGAGTTTGCTTTCACTGAGCCGCGAACTATCGGCGCCTCCCGGGCAGGAACGGGACCCGCGGGAAGCACATATTGGAGAACCCAAATCCCTTTCCGACTTGAGAATCCGAGACGGACGATTAGAAACTTTGATCCTTGTGATTCGTGAAGTGACGGCCAGATTTTCCATGGTTTACCATTATTTTTTGTGTGATCGTTCGTACTTGGTATACACCGTAAAATACGCCGTACACCGGACACTGCGGGGCATCATAGTAAATGACGTCAATCTTCACGTTTTTCCGGATACAAATCACTACCGAAACTACACGGGCTTGTGCTTCGGCAGCTCATCCGTCCCATGCTATCAGCCCAGCCTGGAGTTTCTCATGTGAAGGCCACCCGTCCTGACGCAAAAATTCGTCTGCATAAAACCAGCGACTGCAACTTCAGCTTTCAATGTATCATAGAATTCTCACTGGCAAGGTCTTCGCCCCATTACTGTAACGACTCGAATACTCAATTAGCCCGCCGCTGCCCACGTCGAGCTGTATCTGTACAAAGCTGTACAAAGCCTTCTGTGCCAAATATTTTTGAGGCAAAAAGTTGAAACCATTATCCAGCATCACAGGGTGGATAGTAGACTGTATCTGAAATCATATTTACAGACGCGCGAAGCGAGTTGAACCTAGAGAAGGCAAATCGGCTAATTCCAGTTTTACCGGCAAGTTCGGCAAGTTCCGAGTTGCTCAAACCTAAATATCTCGTAGCTCAGTTATAGCTCAGTTGAAAAAAAATCGTGATCTAATATGAGCTCAGAGCTACTGCCTCTGAACGTCAATGCCGAGTGCGGGAAACTCCGCGCTATTTCGGCTTTATCAGACGACGATGTCGTCCGCCAAACATTTTGCTCTGCTCCTAGACTCGCAACCAGTCCCATAGCCAAGCTCGTCGCAATCCTAGTAGGCGGGGATGAGGGTGCCGGATGATGTTTGGTATGTTTGACATGATGTTTGGTCTATTTGGTCTTGGCTAGGGACTGGGGGACTTGAGCAATTGCCCCATTTGAGCTCCCATTTGTAAGTCGTGGATTTAGAAAAAAAATCGTGTGTATGATTTCTGCATCTTCAATAAAATCTCATTCCAGGTCCGCTAGGTGTCAGAAGGCATGGATTAAGGTCTAATATACCTATATGCTATCCATGCCCAGCCCCCCCAGGTGCCATTGACGTGCAAATGCCCATCGTCGTCGTAGTGCACGTGCTTCGGCGAAGGATCCGAGCATTCGAAGGGCGACCACTGCGACAGTTTTGAGTTTGACAACCGGAGCTTCTCCCAGTGAGCTTGTATGACCCTGGGCTAAGTAACATATATTATTTTCAAGAAATTCCATGGGGGTGGAGAAACCACTTTTTCGTAAGTCAACGCGTTACTTTTGGTAACATCACAGTCACGGCTCAAAACGACCAGTACGAGGTCACATGGAACGGTTGATCACGAGCCTACTCTGCTCCTTCCTCTGCTGCTTTCCCCATTCCCAATGCGCTCCGAACAACGATCCACCCGTAAGTACGATGAGTGATGCACGCCGCACCGGCTGAGATGAGGGGGCAGGTTATTCCCGACGAGAACATGCACCTCATCCTGTAAGGTATCATTTACATATTTTATTTACTCTTTAGCTACAAGTCATATGTACAGTCGTGACCTGATGAAAATCAATCTATCTTGTCTTTAACCTCCATGGCCGCACATCCGCGCCCCCTCAAATCCTCGTCGAGAACACTCCGAGGCTCGTGGAGATCACTCCGAGTGGGCGCACCATGCTATCTTTTACTTGACTATCATTTCGCCAACGCGTTGCTGCCTACTAGTCCTCGTTGAGAGCACTCTGAGGCCTCGTAGAGATCACTCCAGGTTGGGCTTGACGCTATCTCTTTTCCCAGTACCTCTCATATCGTCACTTCACGACCGTGTACATTCACAGTCGGCGGAGCCTCCCTTAGAGGAGTACGACTATTCGACTCTTGGAAGAGTATCCTTGGAGGAGACATTAATTTGAGAGATCTCTCACCACTTAGTCAAGTCACGGCCCTCAAGTAGTTCAGCTGCGCAAACCGACGTAAGGACCGAGCCTTACAAAGTGGACTAATCCGAAATCTTGCGCAGCAGATTTACAAAGACTCTGACTATCTACAATTGCACTAGTCAAATATTCGGACGCCACTAAGGTGTCATCGTCAAGAGCAGCTCGCAGCTTGGGCTGGAGGGATGGCGGAAGGTGAGTGTCCTTCAAATGGTCACCCAGACCAGCAGCATCAGCAGCAAACTGAAAACAACTTCTATAGATACTCCGGGTTGTGCCGCTGGCCTCGCATTTCGGGAGCCGAACAAAGAAGTCG